TTTTTTTTTTCCTTTCCTTCTTCCAACTTTCCAGTTAAAGAATATTGCTGGGGCATTCCTGAATTAATCCCGGCTGAGCTTCAGAGAAGAGAACAAGAGACAGGTGTAACCAGGTGGGAAAAATCCCACCATGCTAGTGAAGCTTCTGATCATCTGTAATACAATAGGATTGGCAAAGCTGGTTAAGCACGCAGACCATCATGGGTATCATGATGGTTCAGTGCACAGCTCACAGCCACAAATTCATGAGACCTCTGCATACCCCCAGAGGACTCCTCTGTCACACGAGGAAGAAGGTTCCTGGGAGGCAGAAGGGCTCAGGGAGAATACTCAAGATTACTCTTCAAGTGTGATCTCCTCGCATCAGGAAGAGAGAGAGGACTTTGAAGCTGTGAGCCCACAGTCCCGAAATGGGTGAGTACCCCAATATGGGTCTGTCTTCCACATAATAATAGCACAATCCTGTCTAATACTGTATATATGCTGTTGATAAAGGACCATTTTCAATAGAAGTTTCTCATTAAAATATGTTAGATTTTAGAGATCAGTCTAACTCGAATAGGATGGGTGTAAATGTTTTAACTGAAACTGAAAGCTGAACTGGCTGAGAGGATGATACCACAGATGGGACAGCTTTTTGCCTAGTCCAAAACAACAGCAGAATGGGGTTAGGGGTCTGGACCCACCTGGCCGATGTGAAGCCTTCTGTTTCTGTTGTAGCACCAGAAAACAAACTTGCTATTTCTGGCAACGTGAAACTAGAAGCAATTGATTTACTGACTTTTCCTGATCACAAACTAATGATGATTATTTTTGCTGATCACAGCAATCTCTGCCCGTCATTGGAACATGCTTGGCTGCAGACTTGGGCCTTGGTAATGGAGAGGAAAACAGAATGGCAGGACATTAGCAAAATAAAAATAGTGAAGGGTAAATATAACAAAGTAAAGAATAATAAATAAGCATGAAAAATACTACAAATCCAACCTCCCACCCTAAAGGTTTTCGTGATAGTGAAATGCTTCCCAGAGTAATGTATGGCCAAAAAGTAGCCATCCTGAGTGGAAAAGGCATCTACTTCTCTAGCAAGGTTTACAAACACTCAGATTTTTTAAGTTTTACAGGGCATGTAAGTAGGTCTCTAAATGTTTAAAACAGATGAAAACCAAACAGGACAGTGAATGAATCTTTTATAGCCCTATTTGGGAGAGCTGAAAGAGCAGCACAGTGAGTACTGTTCACAGGTCAGCACTTTAGCATGCCCTGGTATTTTTCGCTTTAAATGCTCTTGAGAAGAAGTAAAAGGGGAGATGTGAAGAGCCTGTAAAACCTTGCTCATGTCATGCTTCCCTTTCATGCAAACCAAAGTATACAGTCTTGTTTCTAATCTCATCTACACACAAAATTGAGGCCTCCCTCCTGCATATAGCTTGGCGAGTGTGTTAAAACCCTGATGTCCTTCATACTACATCTTCCCACAAGAGGTTCCACTTAAACTTGAGAAGAAACTTCTCAGTGAGGGTGACGGAGCACTGGAACAGGCTGCCCAGGGAGGTTGTGGAGTCTCCTTCCCTGGAGACATTCAAAACCCGCCTGGACACATTCCTGTGTAACATTATCTAGGTGTTCCTGCTCCGGCAGGGGGATTGGACTAGATGATCTTTCGAGGTCCCTTCCAATCTCTAGCATACTGTGATACTGTAAATCTGTACTGCTCACCACTAACCAGAAGTCATTTTCTAAAGCCTGTGAGTGTTGACTTCCAGCTTCCTGATGGGTAGTGTTCGATAATGACATGCACTGTTAATTCACCAATTCTTGGTTAATGCATTTCAGAAACTGGCAGAGGAATGAAAACAAAGCCTAAGTGGTACTCTGGACTTCCATGTTACACTGCAAGGTGGTAATCATTTGACTGCTGATTGAAATGGCGAAAGCATTCTGAAAACTATAAGTACTATGAAAAATTAAATAGTGTAAAAAGGTGCCTGTACAGGTCAGTAAGATGCTGAAACAGATTGTCCTAATAGGGATTTCTTTCTTTGCTACGTAAACTTGTCCAGCCCCAGCTATTACTCATCCTAATTTCCTCCCCCAAAATACTTCCTCCTTTTATGGAAATAGTTTCATAGTGAGTCAAAGTGTAATGTTCTTCCCAATTATAAAGCTATGTTGATGACTAGAGGCAGTCAAAATCTTGCCTGGCAGTAGCTTCATAAATAATAAATTAATAAAAAGAGACAGCACAGCTCCCCTTGTAACTGCACTCCAAATTCTAAAAGGCATTGCAATTGGTTGAAGCAAGCTACTTTCAGAGCCTGAAGTCCTCAAGTGCATGTGAGGTGCTCATGGCTGGAGCACTCTGCTAAGCACAGATGAGAAGTTGTTGTGAATCTGGTATTTCCTCCTTCCACAAGTGTGACACATGCCCTGGGAAAAAAAAAAAAAAATTAAAAAAATCAATGAACTGGGCTTATATCTCTAAAAGAGGAGAGCAAGAAGAAAAGCATCAGGAGTTAATAAGGAATTAAGAGCCAGAAGGAGATAAAGACATGCCATAAAAAAGCCTGAAGTGGTGGCAAATTATTTTCTGCAAAAGCTCTCCCACTTCTAGTTTGTCTTTCAAATGAGAAAATACTTTATTTTCAGAGCTAGGGAAAAAAAAACAACCCCAAAACAAAGTCAATGGTAACTTTGTTTCTGAGACAAAATTTAGACTTCCATAATTTTCTAACAAAAATCATATGGGATGTGGGTTTTTTCAACCTCTTGCTATTTTCCCTATGTATTAGGAATAATTGTTACAAAATATTCTTAGGTGTTTTTTTTTTTTACATTTAGAGTATTATTTTTCTTACTGCAGTTATTTGAATAATTGAGGCCATTGTGAATAATATATCCAAGGTACTTAGAATCCTCTGGTTTCTGTTTCAACATGTAAGGTGAAATGACTCATTAGATCCCAGTGAAGTGCTTGGATATATTACTTTACTAATGAATTCCTCTCAGAATAAGATTATTCTAATAAGAGTTTTAAAATAAGAAAACCAGTAAGATCACTGGCCTTGGGGTGACTTTTATTAAAAGGAAAAAAAAAAGTGTGGATACTAATTCTTTTGTTTCAACTGTTCTTTAGAGGAAGAACTAGGTAACAGTTTAGTATCTCAGCTGCTGCTTGTATCTGAGCTAAAAGGAGCTCTGCATTCAGAATGCACAAGTGTTTGTTTATTCACAAAATAAAAACCATCAAAAGAGGTCAAGTTTTCCAAAGGAAATCATCTTTTTTTCTTTGCTATCAAGCAGCTGTGCCTCATATGAGCTGATCAGTTGGACTTTATATGTTTTATCCTGTGGCTGAGATAAATGGATCCATGTGTATCCAAACTTTCAGAAGAATTAAAAAGGGAAATGAAAGCACAAGTATATGAAGAGATCTGGACTGTGAAATTGCTGGACTATATTACCATTGGAAGACAAAGAGTAAGAACAGTAACAATTGGTTCTGGGCTTCATAAATACTCAATGCATAATACCCAAAATAGATAATAAATACATTTTTAGTCTTCATTTCCCATATAAAACAGATGCCTAATGCAGAACATCATAGGAATGCTCTGTTGTTATTGGTGCCTTTCCTGTGTGTGGATACAGGCAGCTAAAATGAGGCTTGAAAAGCTGCCTGGGACATGACCAGATATGTGGAAGTTCTAAAAGTGACCCAGTAAATATGAAATCAGAGTTTGCACTAGGTCATCATTTACTCCAATCCTTACCACTAGGGGTAACAGATTCAACTGCTGTCTGATTAAGTCATATTGAAAGGAATAATAAATATGCCAAGGAGATATGACACCATTATTGCCATGTTGACTGATGCTATGTGGATGACATACCTAATAGCTTCATCCTAAACTGACAACCCACCTTGGAGATTTTTTTTTCCTTAGAGCTGCTTCCATCAAATACTTGGTAATGACACATGCATGAGCAAGGCATGGTGCTGAGCAGATGCTGAAGGAAGAATACATGTAAGCATACAGCTGCTGTGTGCCATCGCTTGGGCTGTGTAATTCAGACATGGGCAGATAGAACCAGACAGCTCCATGCAGCTGTATGGGGGCCAAGATCATCCAGCCTTTGAAAGGAAAGGTTCCTTGGCCCTGGGAATAGCAAGTCATCTTCTCTGTACCCTTCCTATGAACTCCCCTCTGTTGACCAGAGATCCACAGAAAGACCTTTTCTATAATTACACTCAGAAGGGCCTGTTTCCTCTCCCTACAGATTATTTCTCAAATCAAGTGATGCACTGAAACACCATTAGTGGACCACTGTAGCCCAAACTGAGCAGAGTTTAACCTAATCCATGTGCCTGCAACGCCACGAACAGCTGGGCTGACAAATCAGATTGCATGCACTCAGTGCCCAGAAAAAAAAGGGCAAATGAAGAATCTAAAAGTGCAATCCCATCACATGCTAACTCTGACAGCAAAGCCCAAAGCTTCCCATAACCTCAGTTGGCGCGACCTGTCTGTCAAGTAACACTGTAAACCAGATCACTTGAGCATTCCAGGTTAAAAATAATCTTGTCAAAAAGCAGTGGTTATTTTTAACTTCCCCCCCCTCAGTAACCACACTGACAGAGCTGGGCCCAAACAGATGGCTCACCCAGCAATGGACTGTGCCGATGAAATGGGAAGGAGCAGAGCAACTAAGGCTTGTTTCCCCATCTATAACAAAGTTTCACAGAACTTCTCTGTCTTTTGAAAAGTGTAATCACTGCTGAGTAAACCCTGTTTTGGATTTGCCCTCCAGCTGGGTAGGTGGTTTAGTTTTCCTTCTTTCTCTTTAATCCAAAGAAGCACACTCAGTCTGTCACACATTGGGATTTTTCTTACAATTTCGGTATGTTTGTAAAAAAAAAAAAAAAAAAAGGAAAAAAACACCCAAACCCCTCCCCAAATCCCGCCACTTGAACTGTAAATAGAAAAGGCAGAAATATCCAGTATAAGTAAACCTTAATTGCATTAACATCTTTTAAGGCTTGGACATAGGATTCTGGAAGCCACCCTTGATTAGAGGAAGATCTTCCTGTGTCAGCCAGGTGTTCTGTTATCTCACTGAAACACACCTCTTCCTCTCATTTGGAATTGATACAGCTACAAAGGAGCAGGTCTCTTTTTGTGATTACTCAGGGTGTCAAAACACAGAACAACTAACCTCTGAAGTGTAGCAGAAAAAACCCAAATCAGTCTTATTCTAAGGAAGTCAGAACAATGCTCAGTCTTAATACCTTCATTTTTTTCCTACTTTTACAGGAAAATATCCATTGATTTAATTAAGGCAAGTTTCACACTGACTCATCTAATTCTTCAAAACTAGATAGGGACTTTCTTAGGAAACTTATGGGATACTGAAATTACCCCAGAGGGCACAGAACATATGCTTAAAATAAAATAGGTTTGCATAAAATGCAGCTAAATGTGATCTTCAGCCCCTGACATCCTGCAAACTGGTGGCCACTGAGTGCTCAACAATAGCTTTCGCAGTACCAAGTACATTAACAGAAGCAATGGTTTTGAATCAAAGTTAGACACTTAGCTGCTTTCAGGACTTTAGGAAATTCACTGATATTGACTCTTGTTGAGCTGCACAGCTGCAGGTAGAATGGTTCTCTATTAGCATGTTTGATGCAAATCACACAGCTTCATTGAAAGGAATTATAGAACCCTCTGGGCCCAAAGGATTATTTTACAGCTCATTAGTGCAAACTGTAGCAATTAATTCTTTCCCCATATAGCAAGGGATCTTGTTTCAGCATAGCCACAGAACTACCATCAGCACTACTGGCACATGGATCCAATGCCTTCCTACTTGTGTGAGTCAATACCTCTTGAATCAGTCATCTGCGACTAAGCCTGAGTAGAACTACATTCATGCCCAAAACACAATCAGGGCAAACCTTGGTGCACATTGTCTGCACCCTGAGTGCATGCTGGTGGGGAAGCTTATCTTCCATGCCATTTTTGACCTGCTGGCATCAGCACAGTAGGTGGCCACTGGCTGTGATTCCTGCTTGAAGACAAGGTCCGACAAAGGAGTAAGTGCGCTACACCAGGGATGAACTTCAGTCTGCAGGAAGCAAAAGATTAAATCAAAGCATAAGCTGCCCTCTGTAAGGTCTATAGAGCTTCTGCTGTGGGGAGCAATATCTAAATGAGGTAACGGCTGTGGATGCTTTGTGAAGAGGAAAAGCCTCTTGCATTTATTTCTCTACAGTAGCTGGTACAACAGTTGGATTTGGCCCAAAACCAGGTTCCAGCCAAGCCTGCTTTCTCTTGAGCTCCTGCTCCCAGTGAGGACCCAGGTTCAGGACTGGGTTTTCAGAAAGCCTTCGCTTCACTAATTTTTTAGGACATTTTGCAGGATAAGTCCCTGCTGGTAACAGACTAACTGGCACTATTGTTGGAATAGAAGTGGCACTGAACCAGCATTACTCAAGGATCTGGAAGACTTCCAGCACTGTATTGAAATCCACATTTCAAACTACCACTGGAACTCTTTTCAGCCCAGCTTGTCAAAGTGCAAATCAATCAGTCTGGTTAAACCCCTGTGAAAAGCAGGTCAGTTTGGGTGATGAGTCGCAGGAAGATCCCAGACCCTGCCTGAGCAGGAGCTCTACTCATCCTTAAGGGAAAGAAAATAAATATGATAAATACAAGAGTTTCTGCTGTTTAATTGCAATACAGGGCTGCTGGCTGCTTAGCAAGAGCTGCAGAATTCACTGACTGACCACCAGCAATCACTCACCGTCTGCTAATTAAAAACCCAATGGCACACTGTTCCCTGAGAGAGCCAGCACCTTCTTCAACAGCTGAACACCTCCTGCATTCCACAATGAATAAAAAGATACTACTGTTTTAAAACTGACACATACAATCCTGGTTTAGATTAATTTATATGCAGTATTTTACCTGTTTCACTGAAGATGCTTTTTCTTGTCAGTGAGAATTTTACATGGTGGGAAAAACAGAACATAGATTATTCCTCAGTTAAAGCCTCATTCTTTTTTTCTGCTTCAACTGATATAAACCAGGAGTCATTCTGTACAAATCAATGGAAAATCACTCATTTAAGTTAGTAGAACATAGTCCTCTACTGTCATCTTGTAGCATGTTTAAGCAGCAATAATTGCTTATCAGGTGCTTTTTGTGCTGTATGGAAAAGTGCTATGGACTTGGAAAAGTTTTGCATGGTCAGTGGTGCACATGCACAGGAATGGCTGGACAGGACTTTTCAAAGTAATTATAGAAACTGGTTTCCCTGAGAATAGAAACATGAGGAAACTGATGTGAAGGACAACTCAGTTGCACAAGTACAGCCAAAGGAATAACAAAGCTTATGGAAAAACAATGTCCTGAAGGTTTTATTCAGGCAAGAATTCCACTGACCTAGGAAGCGTCTAAAATTATGCACTGCAGTGTCAATCATGAGAACATGTAACTAAGACACATAAAGTATGTAAGTACCTAATCTGAGCTGGGGGCATTACTCACGCTCACCCTCAGGATGCAATTGTTAGTGTACCAGTGTATGTAAAAAAACCCCAAACTATCTCATATTCATCTGAGCAGAGAGATAATTACTGCAAGATCAGCCATCTTGCTGTACCTCCTGGTTCTGTGGGTTTGTTTTGCTATAAAGTGGCCTGGCTAAATCCTAGAATCAGACATAGAACTGTCTGCATTTTGCTATGTTTTAGTAAAAGCATAAGTATTATAAAATAAGAGAAAAAAAAATCATTTTATGATGAGTTTTTTGTTTAAAGATCTTAAAGGTTCAAACAAAAGGAGATTGAGCTAACCTAAATTTGCTGAATCTTATTTAAATACAGAGTGCTTTTTCATCAGATGTGTTTTAACCTCAGACAGAAGAATATGTTTGCCTCAAAATATGGCAGAAGTGGATAGATGCATGTGAGGACTCTATTGAAAAAGTTGATTAGAATATAGCCTTGGAAAAACTCCATGTAGGCTAGCAAATAAAATTATTCAGATACTTTTTTTCATTTGCTTGGAATGTAAACTAGGAAAAGCAACGGAACAAATGAAACATCTGTAGCCCTAAATTTGCTATGGTTCCCTCAAGTGTTGCTCTAGCTTGCAAGTATTGTGATAAACTTTACCATTCACCAGACTGGAAAGAAAGCCCTTTTGCTCTCCTCACACGAGCAATTTCTTTCTACTCCTCTCTCTCCTTGGCAGCAGAAGCTTGAATCCAAAGGAAACTGTATTAAAGAGAATAAAAGCAGAGTGTGTTAAGTTGGTTATATATTCAGTGAATGAAACGACATAATTACAAAGAGGGGGAAAAGAACACACAAGCAGAACACAAAGCTGCTATGTTCCAGAAACCAGCTGAATAAAGAAAGTGCTATTTGTGAAAGAGCAGCTCTTTGAAACTTCATAGACTTGTTCAGAGCCCACTGGTGCCAGCAGAAGAGCTCCCGCTCACCTTACTGAACTTTAGATCAAGCCTTTCTCTGTTTTTAGAGTGTTTCACTTAACATTAAAGAAGGATATATTTTTCCTCGAGGTTCATACAGTTCAGGAATATTTTTAGTTACAGATAGTGAAGTTTCTTTAAAGGAAACAATTGACAAGATGTGCAAAAAATATTGCAATAAAAGTTTCATCTTTGGGCGCATGTATCTATATTGCAGCTCATTACAGATGGGAAAGATAGACCTTATTTACCTAACTGATGAAAGAATAAATCTTTATAAGCATCATGGAACTCAAAACCCCTACAGGTTTCTGTGATTAAAACCTAAGCATGAAATTATACAGCACTTCAGCTCCACAAATAAGCTTTTAAGATCAACTGAGAGAGAAATAGTGAGCAAAACGGAGATAAAGAAATGCAACCACTATTAAAGGAAGATTTTATTGAGCGTCCATCAAATTCCCCCTTTTTCATGCTATTCATCCTGCATAGTGCTAATTACTGTCCAAAGTAGGCATCAAGTTGGGGTCAGCCATTGATTCAATTTCTGAAATAAACCCTTTCTTACAAGTGGGAAGCCCACCAGATATCTCCAACACATTAACAGGTTTTGAAAAGGAATCCTTGTATTTTCTATTACACGTGTGTGCACATTTACATGTGCAATATAGTGAAAGTACTCACCATCACATGATGCCATATTCTTGCTCACCCACGTGTTGATGCATGTAAGCATTTTGTTTAGATTTGTATGGCTTGCATGACTCAAAGGACTTGTTTGGGAGCTCTGTATGGTGGCAAAAACAAATCAGTCCAGATAATGATTCATGGGGCGTGGACTGTTTTCATTGGGAAAGAACAAAACACTAAAAGCCAGAGAATCCTATTTTAAAAGGAGGTTTCCACACTGAATGCAGTCTCCTGCCTGGATCTGGCAGGCATCCCAGGAACAGACCCAAGATACTGCAACTAGTGACAATGCCAGCAACCTCCAGCAGCAGCACTCTTTATTTCCCCAGAAAGCAGAGATGATTTGAGGGGGGGAAAGCCCCTCCCAGCTATGGCTTGCTCAGCATGAGAAGGGACAGACCAAATACAAGCACAAATCAGGCCTCTGATTCAGTTATTCATTTTATACCAACCACTGAAAAGTGATGCAGCCCTATAAAGGCCGGTGGACTTGTACACACCTCGGAGGCAGATGTCAGCCAGAGCATGTGTGTTGGTCTGCTGGCTGTAACTGAATCACCCAGTGATGCAAAGCAGAGTGTTTGACCCTTAAAGAGTAATGATTTCATAAAAAATTGAGTATTTGACTTGTGGTTCAGCCCCATAGGAAACAAGACTCCCATTGGTAACAGGCACAAAATTTCCCCTAGAAACTCGCAAAGGCCTTAAAACTACAGCTCATCAAAAAAGCTGTAGTTCTGGCTTAAAATCACAACAAAGGCTGCAGCAGCCTGCTTTCCTGTTCAGCTTTCCCAGCACCACAGCTTTTGCCAGATTCCTGTCCCTGCTTCTCAGAGGTGAAGAGTCTTGTTTGTGTGAGTATTCCCTGAAACCGCGATCACATTCTCCTTAAAAAACGGGGGAGCAAAACATGCTGTCTATGGCCCTGCTAGCCCAGGCTGTCTGCCCTTTCCCCCCTGATGTTTCCAGCTTCCTTGCAGCTTCTTCCCCTTCTTCTGGCCACTCAGCTGCTGGGACTGCAGCTTCTGCTTTTGTGTGGGACTCAGTTCCCCATTGTTTCTGCAACTTTCTGAGGGGCAAAATTTTCCATATATGCTGATTATCAAAGATCTGGTTCCTGCATTCCCATGTAAAAATATACTGCCTGAAGTTCAGCTGTTCCCATAATAGTTGTTACTCCTCACTTCCTATAACTTCTGACTCTGGATTTTAACCATCAAACTTCAACCAACAGTACACACTTACATGTACTTTTAACTCTTGAAAAGGAAGAGGCTCCCCTACACTCTGGGATTAATAGACACCTACATAATTCTGACTTGGAAAATTTACCACACTGGTAAAAACTCACTTGTCCTGGTTAGAAGCATAAAGCTAAAACCCCAGAAAACACCTCATTTTTCCAACATAATTTTCTTGCAGGTGATGGCAGAAATCATTTCAAAGCTAGTCTAATTAATAAAAATCCAATCAATTACTATATTACCTTGAAGAATTCAGATTTAGGAAGACATTGATTATTAACGGAGTTTATGTTGGATTAAGTTTTCAGAAGCAGTCTGCCTCAACCTGATGAGTCAGTCATTAGGCATCTGAAATGGCAACACACGGAGAAAGGCAATTTGACATTTAAAGTGACATTAACCTGCAGGTTATCATGGGTTGGAAATTTCTCTTGCTAAATGAAAGGCCTGGAAATGGAACTAATGCATCAAAGTTCAAACAATCAACCCTTCTTAACAAACTCAGATAAAAATCCCAAGTGAAAACAAATGAGCTGGGAGGGGAGGCAGAAGCTAGCAAGCATTTTCCACTTTCCTAATCATCCAGCTGAAAAAAATAACAATAAAACAAATATAAGGCCTTTCTGCATCTCATTGTTCCTTGGCACTGTTACAAGAAGCGACTTAAAAAGACCTACTTCACGCTCCTTTCTCATGTCTTTTTTCCACTAGGAACTGGTGCTCCTTCATGCAGTCCCGGCTGGTAACATACATAGAAGCCTGCATGAAGGAGAAGTACATTGTCAACTCCCAACAGCCCTGTCCAAATGGAGCACCAGACTGTCAGAAGATAATGTAAGTATCCTAAATAAAACCACTGAAGAAAAATGGAATTTTCTCTTAAGTATATAGATAATATTTTCAAAAGTATTAAATGACACATTTTAAAAAGAAGTAACGCATCAACTCAGTTTAATACCAAACTGACACAGGGTATGGTTTATGCACCTAAGGTGATCAGGCATTTAAGCAACCAGGGAGAACAACTGTCTTTGCAAGCCACCAAGTACAGGACTAAAAGGTGATTAAGTGATTTTTTTTCAAATCTTCCCACATGTTTATTCAGAAAAAAAACATAGCTTTTTCATGATTTTCAGGTCATAATACACAGACACACCTTAAAAAGGTCTCAGCCTGTGACCACCAGTGAGACCATTTACATGACAGGAGGTAGAGATGTATGATTGCCCAAGTACCTACTCTTCTCTCAGCAGGACTGGCTGCCCAAAGAGTACTGGTGAAGGCCCATAGTGTACCATAAGGCACCAGAACTGGCACATTTTTAAAGCTGAGAGACACTGACTTCCAACAGACTTCTGAAATGAAATAATATGTAATACTCGCCTACATGCATTTGTAGTTACTTGATTGCAAAAATGCTTTTGTTATTTAATACAATTCATTTCTCTTTCTCTGAATGAAAGAAGAAAGTTTCATGACTATTTCTAGTTGAGTTTATAACAAAGCTATCTTCCTTGGGACCAGTGACATTTTGTAATATTTGTTTAAAAAGAAAACTTTCTCTACAACACAACAGAACATTACAAAAGTTCAAGCCCAGTCCAAATTCGATTGCAAAGAACTACCACAATAAATATTAGAGTTGCTTTTCTGCTAGCTACATAATTTT